CAGGAAGTTAAAGGATTAAACGCAGAAGTTGTCATCACTAACAGGAGTATCTGAGATCCCTGTCTGCAGTCCAGCTTTGTGCTTTGAATCACAAATCACAAGCTGATTAAAAATAATAAATGAATTCCCTCAATGGAAAATAGACAGGTACATTCACACCCATACATGAGTCTACTCTCAATTAGCGTCAGCTGGAAAGTTCAGTAAGAGGGTAGTGGAAGTGTAACTCAAATACCTTTTAGTACTTTCATTAGCAGCCATATGGAAAGAAAATCACCAAAGTATTAAATGCCTGATTGTTACCATCATATGGAAAAGCAATGAAGTTGTTCAGATAGACAGCAAAAACACAATTTTTGGCTTATCAAACTGTAAGTGAAGCTGCAGTCTTTATATGAGACAAACCAATTCAATGAAATGTCAAACTTTCCAGTAGCTAAAAAGTTAATGTTATTTTTTTGTTATTCCCTAATGGTCTAAGTGTAAACAAAGTGTGAACATATCGAGGGGTGAGAACCAGAAGGGCGTAAGTGACATTTCACCAACTTTACAGGAGGGCCGAAACAAAAATTTAGCATAGTTTTATCTGGCTTTGTGTACTGATTTCAATAGTTTATAATAAAACTTTGTACACACATGGATGACAGTATACTTGAACACTATTTTCACATTTACTCAGAAAAAAAAAAAGTATTATTATTTTTTTAATTAAAAAAAAAGTCACAGGCGCCTTTTTGGCACCAATGTTTTATTCCATGTATTTGAAATACATTTATTTCATGCTAAGTATACTACAAATACATTTACATATTATTTACATATTACTAAACAGGTATACTTAAAGTCTGCTAAATTGGAACAACTAATTTTGTACTTAATGCACTTTAATTGTAAGAAAGTAGTGCTGAAGTTATACTGTAAGATATACTGAGCTATATTTAATTGTGTTAAAAGCGGAACTATTGCAAGTATACTTTAGGTACACTTTAAATATCTTGCATTTACATATTATTCAAAGATCATACAATCCTCTCATCAATAGTGACATTAAAACACATTTTAGGCTTAAGCATCGCGCACAAGTAGTACTCCAAATAAAGTTTAATTATAATGTTTATATTTATGTAAGTATAGAGTGATATGTCAGTAAATAGACAATAAAGCAAATAAAATGTTAATAGATTTGAACTAGTTTGAAATAAATGTATTTTCAATACAGTATATTACTATTTTACTAGGGTTTGTAATAAAAAAAATATGATAGCAAATACCATTAACTGAATGATACTAAAGTAATGAATTGCATAACTAATTCTTATTAACAATAATAATACCTTCTCTGCATTCTCTCTCTTGTGGCTAAGCAGTAAATGAGTGCCGGTATGATATACCATTAGAATGTAAGTTATTGGTTACTACCTGTTAGCTAGCTACACCTCACTGACATTGAATGCAGGATATTTTAATTTTCTCCATCATCATCCAGCTCTTTGTCACAAAATAAGATTAACAATACATCTTCAGTAGTTAAAAACGGCTTTCTCCTCATGGCTGACCTACCAGGCTTACTTGTTGTGCCAGCCATTTTGACTCATGTGCTATCCACAAGCTTTACCCTCAATACATTTCTCAATGCCAAAGTGGCGTAAGTGCAGTTACACCCTTTTGGCACCAACTGGCTTTGTATTTTCAGTGTTAAGTCTTTTGGTTTCTAATGAATAACTCCAATTATGAATTCACTTGTGTCTTTTTGTTAGTAGAAAGAGCTCATCAAGAGCTTTTATTTGATATATATACATTTGTGCACACTTAACATACATAACAATCATAACTTGATTTAATCCCCCGACATACTCAAGGGTGGACTTAAGGAGCGTCCCAAATTGCATACTCGTGCACTATTCTATGCCGTTTTGTAATATATATATAGTGTAATTAGTGTTCACACTGAAAATTACAAAAAGAAAAAAATGCACTTTAAATAACTGAATTATGCACTTAATTAACCAGAAAAAAAAATGAAGTTTAGAATGCACTCAACTGTTGCAGATATTTAATTACGTAGCAGAGGGGGAGGGGCTACCAGACTCCATTAATGAATGACAAAATAACCTTATAAAATTCATACACTACACTGTTTAGTACATAGTGATAAAGTATGTAGTGTGTAAGTGCAGTGTATAGTTCGTCATTTAGGATGTAACTCTAGTGATTTGGGGGCCATAAGCAAATTCCAGTTATGGGGCCTATGTGCTCGTTTACTTTTGTAACCCTTATTTCTCTCCGTAAACTTGCACTTGAGCTTGCACTTGTCCATTTAACTGCAGTGAATAGTCACAATCTTCAATCTTTAAAAAAAATATTGTAATTTGGATAAAAGCATCTGCTAAATGATTTCATGTAAATGTAAATGATTTATAACTAATTTAATAATTCAAAAGTAAACATTTAATCATTTTAATATTTATATAATTTTGTTATTTATAATGAATTCTTTGGCATTTACCAGCAGGCCCGCTTTCAGATTCAAAAGACTGAGTGAGCTTCTGAAATTAGTCAAGGTGCTCGAGTTAGGGGGCACATCTAGTTTGCCATATCATATTTGGTCCCGTCATTGCAATTTCAAGAGAGAATCATGCAGTGTTAACAACCTGGAGCTTAACACGCTCAAAACAGTGGAGATGATAATGGACTTCAGGAGAAACCCCCCTGCACTCCCCCCACTCACTATCATGAACTGCACTGTGGCTGCAGTAGTCATTCAGATTCCTGGGCACCACCAACTCTCAGGAACTGAAGTGGGACACTCACATTGACTCCATTGTGAAGAAGGCCCAGCAGAGGTTGTACTCCCTTCGCCAGCTGAGGAAGTTCAACCTGCCACAGAAGCTGCTGATACAGTTCTACTCTGCAGTCATTGAATCCTCTGCACCTCTGTAACGGTCTGGTTCAGCTCAGCTACCAAAACTGACCTCAGAAGACTACAGCGGATAGTCCAGACTGCTGAGCGAATCACTGGTACAACCCTCCTCACTCATCCAGAGTGAGTAAAAGGGCTGGCAAAATCATTCTGGACCCCTCGCACCCAGGCCACTTCCTTTTTGAAATAATGCCGTCTGGTCGGCGCTACCGAGCACTGAGCACCTAAACAAATTCCTTGTGTGTGTAAGCACACTTGGCAATAAAACTCTTTCTGATTCTGATTCTGATTTAAAAGCGAATATCACTCCCGAAACTTTGCAGTGTGTAAGTGGCCATTGGTCCTCTTAGCAGCATGAAAAACAAAAGATGATATATATATATATATATATAATTTTAATGTTGTATATCTCGAGCAAAAATAGCAATGTTTTAATAGTGGCACAGATCCAAGTTACACTTTTTAGGGTTTACAATGGTTTTTCAAATACTTATTACTTATAGTTTCCCATATCTTTATTTTAAGTTGGAATAGGAGGAATTATTTTAACCAAGCAAATCATCACCAATACATAAAATACATACATGAATACATAAAAGTGGCACATTTTATTTAGTTATACATGAAGATAAAATAATATGAATTTAAATAAACTAAACATGAAGATGTTTTGTGATTACAACATTACAGCTTAGAAACAGTTAGTGATAAAAGCTAAAAACAATATCTAAGCACAACACTTGAATGATCTACATAAGCTCTTATTTTACAAAAACATGATGCTCAGCAACAATGGCCATTAGGCCTGTTTCACACCCCTTACACGCATTGTGCATAAGTGAAGCAGCAGTGTAACTGCAGTAGAAGGCGCTATATACAAAATATAGTAGTGTCTCAGTTACTATATTACTACATTACAACCATAATTTCTAAAATAGTTATCATGGTTGGGCCATTGAGAATTGTTTATCATGTTTAATAAGTTTATCATGAAATATAATTCTAAGCGCTTGGCTACTTATGCACACAGTTAATATGGGTGCTGGAATAACTATGCACTGCTTTTGTGTGCGGTGTTAAACAGCTTAATATAGCATTCACAATGGCCTCGAAAAACACAAGATGAGCAAATTTCTTTTTGAAACAATTCTAAAACGATTCTTAAATTTTAATAATGTATTGAATTGAATGCAAACAGTCACAAAAAAATAAAATAAAAATTGATTTATGAACAATTTGCACATTATTTTTGTTATGCTTATGTCAAATGAACAAGGCCCACTGTCTGTATACTAGTCAATCATTTGGTGCTTTTCCACTGCATGGTACGGCTCGGTACGGTTCACTTTTGGGGGGCTTTCCACTGGGTACAGTACCTGGTACCTGGTACTTTTTTTAGTACCACCTCGGTTGAGGTTCCAAGTGAACCGTACCGTTACCAAAACGTGACGTGTAAACTCTGCTGATCACAGATTGGCCGGAGAGGATCGTCACTACCTGCGTAACTGAACTTGCGACACAAACACAACAGAACCGCTAGATTTAAATCAGCACAGCCAGCAAAGGATCGAACGCAACTGTTTTGAACAAGCGCACCTTTTTTAACAACCAAAAAGTGGCTGTTTCGTTGTCTGTTGAGGAAGTACAGACATTACTCTCGTTGATAGCAGAGGAGCAGATCCAGCGAGAGCTTGATGGGGCGACGCGGAATGAAAAAGTTTTTCAGAAGTCGCGGCAGTATAGGCGGCGCAACTAACGACATGTGAATAATCCCGCCCACTCTAAAGCGGTACTGAACTGCAGTGGAAACGCAAACCGAGCCGAGCTGTGCCGTGTTGTACCGTACTGAGCCGTGCCGAGCTGAGTCGTACCACGCAGTGGAAAAGCGCCAATTGACTATTACCAGTGCAACATAATACATTAAATATGCAACCTAAAATTTATCAGTTTGTTTTAACGCAGACCGTTCAGGTAATTAATAAATTTTCTGTATTTTTTGTGCTGCATTGCAGCTTAGTGGACTCTAACTCGGTTGGACATCTATATTCTAGTTGCTGTGGCCTGAATTCACATATAAGTTTCAAGTGTCCTGCCCATCACTGTCCTCCTGCTGCTGGGTGGCTGACGGGTTGCCTGGATAATCTAGAAGCAAAATAGGGGTCTCCTTTGCTCCTGTTTGCACCCTCTCACGTCTAGTGATTCCTCTGCTGCTTGCCTTCGAAGATATTGTCTGACCCCGGAACAGTTGAGCCTGACGTTGACATAGACCCACTTTGCTGAGAAGTATGAAGACATCTCCTTGGAAGGCCTTGGTGAAGATGGCATATAGGAAAGGGTTAGCGCAGGAATTCAGAGGGTAAAAGAGCACCAAGAGGATCTTGGAGTTTGACACAGTGATGAGCGGGTGGTCCAACGCAGCAGTCATAGCATACAACGAAATGGGTGCCATGCAGAGGAAGTCAGTAAAGATGAGCACAGCCATACGCTTGGCAATGTTGGTGTCTTTGTTGGCAGACCGATGACTTGGGTTGTGAACAGCACAATAGATCTTGATGTAACAGGCACAAATGACTACAAAAGCCAGGATGTTAAAAACAAGTACACATAGGATGTAGATCTGGTCCACAAGTGTCTGGGTGTCCATGGGCAGACAAATGCTGACCTTCTGGTAGCTGCTGACCCCAATGAGAGGCATAAGAGCCAATAAGAGGCAAAAGATCCAGCCTACAAGCATGATGACTGAAGCATGGGACAGACGCAACTTACGGTCCAGCCGCATGGCGTACGTGATAGCATACCAGCGTTCCAGAGTAATAGTGGTCAGTGTGTAGACCGATAGTTCACTAGCAAATACGGAGAAGAACCCAGCTAGGTTGCATCCTGGACCTGTCTGCCAATCAATAGCATGATTATAGTATTCAGAACGTGTGTGGAGGTCCACGGAAGCAATTAGCAGCAGGTAAATGCCCATACACAGGTCAGCAAAGGCCAGGTGGCACATTAAAAACCTTGAAACTGACAGTTTGTAGTGGCTGGTGAGCAGCACCAACAGTACAAGCAGGTTGCCCAACACAGCAAGCAAACTGACAAACCACACAGATACCCTTAGAAAGCTGAAACCCATGATGTCCTCACACGGGTTGAACTCATCAGGAACAGGAAAACAGGCGACCTCCTCTCCCTCCTCACACACAATGTAGTCATAGCGACTGTCAAACTCATGGCTGGTGTCTTCCTGGGGGTTCTTCAGCGTTTCGCCAAAGCCCACATCATCGTCTGGGTGCCCGCCAAAGTAGGTGTGGTAGTGCAGGCTGCTGTAAAAGTCCTGGTGGTCGTAGGTGTCTCTAAAGAGGTTATCACCCGAATCGATGCCAGGTTCCATGCTGCTGTGCAGGCCAGGAATTGCAAACGTTCCCACAGATCTCTTTTGAAGTTGGTTATACCTGGCAGTAAGGTTGCATATGATGTCCTCTAAGTACCTGCCATTTAAAAAGCAAAAATCCTAATGCTTGCATGCCAGAAAATACACTTTTAAAAGGTCTTAAATCTTTTTGTATGCTCACTAAAACTACCATAATATTCAGAATTTTTTATAGAATTAGGCAAACCAATTATATGACGTTACAGTTCAGTCTTAGTAAAAAATACTCAAAACCAGCATATTTTCTCAGATTTGAGAGTAGTATTGCAATGAATAATCAATGCCACAAACCCTCTTTTTTTCTTCAAGTTCTTGAATGCACAGCAGTGGCTGGGGTAGGTCAGGTCTGCTGTAATCATGTGTCTGAAAGTCTTGATCGGTGGTAGTTTTTTGAGGGGCCAGACATTCCGAGCACAGAGTTCCCGAAGTGACTCCAAGCCTCTGGTTGGTAGGGAAGTGACAGCCGATTCTGATACATCACTGATGAGAAAAGAAGACAGCAGATTGACCCAGTTTTTCATGATTGGTCCTCAGCAGCATAAAAGACTTTTATGTTAAAGGAATATTCTTATCCTTTTCAGAATTGCCAATGAAGTTTGATCTTCCTAACACTAATCTTTTTCACTTTTTTTCAGGTCAGACATTTTGTACAAAATCAGTTTCCGCAGTTCCCTAATCTCCCTCCTGATATCAAAAAAATGGACACCCTTCTCTCTCTCTCAGTCCAGACAGAAAAGGGCTAATCTCTGCCTTTTATGAATCAATAGATTTTTTAAATCCTGACCCCTCTGAATCACTCAAGAATACATAAAAACTAGAGCTAGGGGTGACTATACTTGAAACAGAGTTGATTATATATTTGATTTAGTACATTCTTCCTCCCTATGTTCTTGACACAGTTTGATGCAATGCAAGATTATTTACAGAGCACAAAATATACCCAGACAGGAGTGACACTTGCAATAAGTACCGACAGTCTCCAGCAAATCATACTCGCATGTTCTGGTCCTGTTCAAGATTGACAGAGTTTTGGGCTAAAATATTTGATACTTTCGAAAAAAAAACAAAAACAAATCTTTAATACATAAAAGGGTCTTTAAAAAGCTTTCATAAAACATGGAAACCATTGTTAAATTATATTGATACCATTGATCTGTCACTTGAAAATGCCAGAAGAGGATTAACAATTTCTATTTATTTATTTTTGCTCTTATTTTGTCCTTTTAAATATTTTTTTTCCCTTTAGACATTCATTGTATCATTTAACGACTACCTTTACAGTGCTATTGTTACTTGCCCTTGTTTTTGTTGTATGGCACAAAATGTTAATAAATATATTTTGGAAAACAAAATTCTCTAATGTTGAAACGCTTGTGGTACTTTGGTTTATGTTGCTTTTTAACAGTGTTTTTCTAAAGTGTTGGATGTTTGTTCCAATGACTTGCCTGTTTGAGAGCTGACCAATCATTATATAGAGAAGATTCTCAAGACAAAAATATCTGAATTAAAGTCCCATTTTCCAATAAACAGATCGGATACTTTCTAATTTAAACCGCACTTATGGTCATGGTGTTCTCATATACAGTACTCTACAATACTAGAACTAATAGTGCTGCTGTCAGTGCGTTCTGGCACGATATTGTAAACAGTTGGTCATGTCTTAATTGAATGTAAGATGGAACAAAAAATGGATACATTGTCAAAAGACAATTTGCATTTGGACTTTCAATGTAAATGCAGGCTTAGGCTAAGCTGTGCTGTGTGCATTTCAGCATCACCTAAAGAAAAAAAATTACCACTGCCTGTTTTGTTTTTCTCTGAAAATCATAAATCCTCCCTATAGGATTATAACCCTCAGAGTCAAAAATGTCCATTATAATATGAGCTTGTTGTTGTTTTTGTTTTAAACAGATGTTCCAAAGAGTCTATTGTGCAACATGAGTTTAAAATTAAGAATAAAAAAATTGCAGCCCGCTTGCCATAGTTAGCCAGTGACCTCATAGCAATGATTTCACACTGAACTGACTCCTGGGAGGGTAGCTGAGGGGCCACATTATTAACTTATTAAAGAATTATGATTTCAGCAGGCCCACATTAGCAGACAGATAAGATTACTATGGTCAACATCCTGCATTCAGATGAGAAGATATTTTTGCACTTAACAGAAATTTTTTTTAGTAACACCAATGAAGAGTAGGCTAGCTTTATGAAGTCTGTTATAAACAGAAATCTATAATATTTGTCAAATCAGTAAAACAACCTGCTATTTTCCTTTTTTGAAAGAGAAGAATGTTTTCCATTAAAAGTGTCAAAGAATTAAAATGTTATTTTGTGCATTTTTGTATTATGACACATGATCTAATCTCTTAACTGAAATTTTTACAAAGATGTACAAAATATTTAAAAGTCTTTATCTGCTCTAAATTACAATCATAATAATACAATCTTATAATTTACAGTATTTCAGTATATATACAGTATACTTCCATAACCAAAACACAGCAAAATCATTTATGGACAAGGGCAGCAAACTCTGAGTAAAAGAGCTCAGAGAGAACTACAGACACTGAATCTCAAGTGCTTTCAGGAGAAACAAAAGCCACTCACAGGAGCATTGGCCCACTGCTAGTCCCAGCAAACATTCTCTCATCCAGCCTGGTCAGCTGCTTATTTCTATGCAGGTACCTGGAAAGAAAAGGAGTAAAAAAGGTTCAGTTTTGTGATTATAATGCTATTACTAAATGTTAAAGATGAAATTAAAACCAGACTTTTTGTGGTGCTTGTTAAGGCACAAACAAACCAATAAACCCTAAAGTATTTAGTAGGTAATTTGCCCCACAATATTTGTGCTATATAAATGAATAATACCATAAACTGTGCTGCTTGTTGAGAATAGGTGCATTATTTGTTACAAGTGATCAGACTTAGTTCTTTTACCTGGTAGATGGCAAAAATCCCACAGACTTACATTAAAGAAGGGATATAAGTACACACAGGAACCAGAATATCATAAAAACTCATTGGGGCCATTTTTTTCTTCTTCCAGGGGCCGGTTGTATAACTGCTTAGAAAAACTTAAAAAGTTAGCCATCTAATTAGTTTTCTTCTAGACTGGTCATAACCGTTTAAAGCCAGTATAACAAAAATGTAGATTGGCCCAATTTTAATCAGAAAAGTGAGACTGATTATCTCTTGACTAACTGCTAGTTGGTCAAACTAGTTTTTAAGACACAGTCTTAACATAGTGTCTATGAAACTGGCCCCTGCAAAACAAGACAAAAAAATAATGAATGCTGAAGAAAATTACTCTGTGCAATGTGGTTTCTAAAATAACATGAATTTCATAACCATGCTGGATGAATTCTCAAGTGCAATGAAACAGCCCAACAAGGCTTGCTAGGGGGGCCCACCTTTAGCAATTTTTTTTAGCAAATTTAGCAATCCAGAAAGGGAGTTTTACTATTACACTTTCATCAGGTGCTTTTGTCCTGGTTTAGCAGTCCAATGTAAACATGCAAAACCAGAGACATTAGCAAGAGATTACAACCTAAGGGAGTTTGAGATATGAGGGAGATTGACATTAATATCCTGTATTGTCAGAAGAAGATTTGCGAAATGACAATAGTAAATATTATGCCCCGAAAGTGTCCTTTACTCTGAATACACTTTTTTCGGTGGGAACTGATTGAGAAGACACTAGCATGGCATGCATGCTATTGAATCAAGTGAACGAATAGTAGATATAATTATATCATTATTTAACCATATGCTGCTGTTTTTTCAGTGGAATAAAAAAAGTCTATTCACTCAGTGACAGTTCATAGTGAACACGTCTGTCAGAAAGGACATGAAAAACATACAAGTTCCATACAACAGTCCATTCAACTTTCACAAATATTATATCTAAATCTAAAGCAGCGATCTCCAACCCTGCTCCTGAAGACGTTCTGCAGATTTCAGTTCCAACCCTGAGCCAACACACCTGTCTGTAATTATCAAGTAACCCTAAACACCTTGATTAGCTGGTTTAGTTGTGTTTGATTGGAGTTGGAGCTGAAATCTGCAGGACGCTAGCTTTCCAGAAACAGGGTTCGAGACCCTTGTCTAAAGCAATACGATACTGTGTGAGCCACAGACCAAATTTTAAATCCTTTTTGGTCTGTTTCTTGGAAGATTATAGTGCACAAGTTTAAGAACTTATTTTGGTGGTGCACAGGTTTGCACAGGAAAAAAGCAGATTTGTAATGTAATTAAGGTGAATAAATAATGATAGATTTTTTTTTTCATGTTTGGGTAAACTATTCTGTTAATGACCAATGCTTCATAAATGTGTTGTATCAAACTTGTGTATTTATATGGTTTTAGATAAACTTTTAGCATTGAATTGTATGTCTTATGCAAGCATTTATAAAGAACTTTACACTGAGTCCAGTTTTGTGCCATTGAAAGCATGATGTTGGACTTTCGTAAAGCCATTGCTGTACAGCCTCCTGTTGAATAAAAAGCAAAAAATAACAGTCATGTCTTCGTGCAAAAATCTTGCTAATAACAGTGTCTACTTCTAGTTCAGAATTTAGAGCAGAGTATATGTTTAAATAGCCTCTCTAGGAGATAGCGATGCTTCAGTCACACAGTATACTGCAAATAATTGTACCACACTGTAAAAAGTAATCACTGAATCTACTTAAGAAAAGCGAGTAAACACAACTGATTTTTACAAATTTGTTGAGTTTACTTAATTACACTGTGTTATGTGAACTTTCAGGTGGATGCAATAGTAAAACTGAACAACTTTAGTAAACAGTACTTAAGAGCATCTAGTTTGTTGGATTAAAGGTATGTTTCCATTGTCTGGTGCAAAGAACAATGAATACAGTCTTAGAGTGAATACAATTTGAAATGGTTAAGGTGTTTTTTTGTTTTTTTTGTTAAGAGAACTGTTTTGTTTGAGTTCTGTGCACTAAGCTTAATTTAAATCTCTAATTTGGCTGAACTTGTCAAATTGAGGTACCAACACTTAAGTTTTCTGGTAACCTATATTTATACACAAGTTACCTATACAAAGTTACAGTAAGTTTTATTAACTCAAAAATGATAAACTAATTTGCCTGAGAAATTTGAGGCAATCAGTTTCCACAGGTTTTCCAAGTAAGTTCAACTCATTACTTTTTACAGTGCAGGAACTAGAACAGAATTACAAATAGCCTGTGCTAAAAGGGGTAATTTTCATTCAATCACTAGAATCTTTCCAATATACCTAGCCTATAAGTAACAGTAGTTTTGCACACTCTTCACAAAAAAAAAAAGTCAGGAAGGAAATTGACAAATGACATCTCAAACTCATTTTTCTCTGTTAGTATATGACATGGAATATGACAAGACTTACACTGACAGCAGATCACTGGTAATGCCAAGAAAAGCGTTAGCTGGAATTTCAGCAATATAGGGATTATCGCTTAGTTCTCTGCAGGAAGAGCATAAATAGATTAAAAGAATACCTTCAAAAACACTGATCTGTATGAAAACTGCTGCATTAGAACACTACTCACAGTAGGAAGTAGGAGTCATCAGCCTGGATATTGTTCAGGACAGGGAAGATGGTGAGGCCTGTGTTGAATAAGCCTCTGAAAATACAACAGCTCCTGGTTATTATTTCAAGGTCTTATGCATTGTCCACAGTGACACTAATTTTATTGCTAGAGGTAACTGCACTTTTGGTTGCTAGTAAGTGTTCCTACTACTTAGTGCCCTAATGTTATTGCTGGGCTGCCTAACTGGTTATAGCTTTACTTACCTAGACCATGCTCTTAGGCACAATAATCAAGCAAACATGTAGTACATTCTACATCTATATAATACAATCTATATATTGTAGTTTTTGAAGAGTGTGCATGTGCATAAATGCATAAGAGAACCCTGAAATATGACATAAGAGCGAACAGACAAGGAATTAATTAAAGCAAAATGTCTATGCCAATTACATGCTGCAGGCAGAGATGGGCAGTGTTTTAATTAAATGTATTTAAAATACATATTTAATTACTTTTGAGTATTTTGTAATTTGTATTTTGCTGGACAAAAAAAAAAATACTTTGAGAGACAGTATTATGTATTTGAAATACTTAAAATACTTCATCAAGTAGGTCATTTTATTATCAGATAATACAATCTAATGATACATAATAATACATCTTTCTTCACCTGTGTTAATAGTACTGCCAAATATAGCCTATCACAATTTTTGGCTAGATGCAAGTGAATCATATGACATCCTGTTGGATACATAGGCGGAGTCTTAAAGGGTTAGTTCACCCAAAAATGAAAATTCAATTGTAAATTACCCACCCTCATGTCGTTCCACTCCTGCAAGACCTTCGTTCATAAATGAAGGTATTTTTTATGAAATCTGAGAGCTTTCGACAGCCCCCTCTACAGTCAGCCATGCAACTTACCATTCAAGGTCCAGAACAGTAGGAGAAACATCATTAAGTAATCCATGTCATTAAGTACATCCAGTAATCCAATTTTATGAAGCGACGTGAGTGCTTCATAATTTACCACTTTATTAATGAAAATATTATCCAAACACATGCGTTGTGGTACTCTAGTGAACACTAACTCATTTGAGTTATGTTGACGCGTGACTCTTCTGTCGTGCAAACAACACAAATGCGTTGTGATGCTCTCATGAACGCACAATGCAGATCAATATTTTCATAAATAAAGTTGTAAATTATGTTTTTTGTGCAAACAAAGCACTCGAGTCACTTGTGTAAGTGTGAATGTGTAAGTTGCGTTGCTGCCTATGGAGGAACAGAAAGCTCTTTGATTTCATAAAAAAATATCTTTATTTGTGTTCGGAAGAGGAATTAAGGTCTTATGGGTGTGAAACAACATGAGGGTGAGTAATTAATGACAGAATTTCCATTTTTAGGTGAAAAAACGTCTTTTTTAACGAAACTTTAAAAATGAGAGCCTATAGACAAATTTTTATGTGAAGGACGCTGGGAAAATCCAAGGGAAACTATCATAACAGTGTAATTTTAATGAACCTCATCTGTGAATAACAGTTGCCGTCGCTTGCTCGCATTACTATGGAGTGTGTGCAAGAGCATGAGCAGTATGTTGCTGGCCACAGCTCACTTAATGGCCACCGGTGTCGCTAATAACAAGGGTTTCTGAATTCTAAATAGAGCCCTTTAACAGCTAAATATCAGCATTTTTAGGAGTTTTAGGAATCTTTACTGTTGACAGTGAAATAGCTTGAGGCATCCTCTTGAGTAGGACAAGGCTGTATGACAATACGGTTTTGCAGGACTGCTTAATTTTTGACACACTGATAAAGAAACGATAAAGGAGTGATAAAGAAACATGAAGTTTCAAGTAAAAACAATCGGTTGTGTCTTAAATGGACATAAGAAATTAGAAGAAATTTGGATCAATATATTGGATATATTGTCTAGTGTTAGGGTTAAAGAATATGTTGTTTATAAGTTGTTCAAGGAGGGGAAATCACTTCTCTTTCTCTTATGTGTGTATCTAACTCCAGTATTGCTAAAAGTAATGCCACTGTCTCTTGCACTTCAAATGATTGCATGTAAATATTGGTTGTATTTTTGTATTTTCAAATTACAAATTACTTGTATTTTAAATACATACATTTCTCACACCAGTATTATGTATTTTAAATTAAATATATTTGATGAGCAAGTATTTGTAATTTGTAACAAAATACTTTTTGATGTATATGTGCCCATCTCTGGCTGCAGGTTAGCAAGATTAAACAATGAACAGCTTTTTGTTCTTTCGTGCAAATTAACTATAACAATGTGGCATTAATTGTGATCTCTAATCAATTATTAGCAGAATAGGGAAAACAGAGTTTTCCCTGAACAAACTCCTAATTTGCTGCTTATTAATTGTAAGGTAATTGTTAAGTTTAGGGATGGTGTAGGATTAAGGGATCTAAAATATGGTCATGCAGAATAAGGCATTAATATGTGCTATATAAGTACTGCTAAACAGCCAATATGCTTGTAATATGCATGCTAGTTGTATAAGCAACTAGTTAATAGTGAGAATTGGTCCCTAAAATAAAGTGTTACCAAAGTTATTACTTCACTACATGTATGTGACTTCATTATAAACAGTCTAACATTGTTGAACTAAAGTTTCCACCATGCTACTATAGTATACACTAGCTAGTGTAAATGTTCATTTTTAAAAAAAAAATTTTTAAACCTCAAAAAAATATTTAAAACAGGAAAACATGACAAAACTGTTTAGTTTTTTCAATTTGAAGACAAAAAAGTATGTAGACAGTGTTTTGCTCACAAATACTGTAATTTAGGGAGATTCTTAAAAGCTTCTGGATGGATGAATGTCAGATTTCTTGTGTTTCTCATTTCTCTGAAATGGGAAAGAGAGAGAGAGAGAGAGAGAGAGAGAGAGATTACATGAATTGAAAATGTTCTTTTGTAAGTGTTTAAATGAAAGTGATAGGATCCTACAGTATCTCAGCTGGACATTATGCTTGACTGTAACAGAATTAATTTCACATTATTTTTGCAGATGATGAGAATAACAGTTCTGACGTAATTTGCTCTTGTTCAGTTTACTCAGCCAGATATGCTAAATGAAAGCACATTTCCTAGTACAATAAGAGAAAACCTCAACAAAAATAGTACAGTGGAAGAACAAGTCACTAAAATCATGGGTGTATTTAATCAGGGATTCAATGCTGGTATGTTCTATTAACAGAGTTAAATGCTGGTTGGTTTTGTTCTAAGTGAGAGTAAATCTCAAAAGGTAATAATGAAAATATATTTGGTCGCAGGTAAAAAATCTAAAAAAAAGCCTGATGCTTGGGCACTGAAAAGTAAGTAACAAACGTTAGTAACATCTCCGATTTCAGGTATAGAATTACTATATTGTGATGTTGTTCCATAATGTAGTTGAAAATGTTTACTGTGGTAAAGACTATGGTTGAAAATGACTTATACAATGGTAAAAATTTTATTCTTTTGCTTCTGTGGTAGTTAAGATTGCCCACCTCTTAAAGTAAAGGGAGCTGCTACAAAGTCAACACATGTCAACACATAATGCTTTTATTCCCCAGCGAGTAAACCAGATCAGAAAAAAAAAACATCAATTTTGGTGGTAGCAGGAGAGAGAGAGAAAAAAAATAAACCTTGGGAGAAACCAGGCTAAAACAGGGGAGTGTCCTATCATGCATCTAGAAATGCAAACCATTAACAGAAATAATTCTTGTTTTTTCTCTTCTGTGTTACATCTATGCATTATCGTCGTTCTTGTGTTTATTTTGTTTCATTTTACTCAGTGTGTTAAAATTAAAGCATGTAATTTCTTCAACACTTCTGTTGTGTTTACACTTTTTGGAGAACATAGAATATATCCAGCTGCATTCATGTACTTGCATGAAATATATTTCTGGCCTCAGGGTTAAAAAGACAGTGTCTGTTAAATAAAGAATGCTGTTTCATAAATGTGATATGAGTATTTGTTTGTATTTTATGCAAAATGCGATTCTCCCACACGCACGTTTGCATAGACACTAAAATGTACAATGATACATTGACAGCATTTAAAACGTAAATAATTTTTACTTATGAACAACTTTACATACATACAAATGTTTACAAATCCTTATTTTATCTATTAATGTTTAATTGACAGAATCAGTTGTTTCTATTGCACTTATGATCAACAATATTGTTTTCATGTTATTAAACACAGTTGGTTCATTTACTTGAAATAATAATCTTTTCTGTGTGACTTTCAAAGGCCTGCTCATTTCAAAGGATCACATAATTTTAAACAAGACTAAACTTTTAAATCTTTAAATGAATAAACTGTAATCATTCTAATCACCAATTAACCATTAATTATGGTTTGTTTCCATCCAAATGTGTCACCCGTACAATCATTTAACCATTGTGTATTTATTGTGTGTATTTATTTATTTTATTTCGTGTGGTTAACTGGAATTTATAAATGGATTTTGGATGCTTTAACTTACATATGAGTAAGCTTTCTCAGGTTGTAGAAGGAATGCTTTTCTAACCTGCTCAGAGAGACATCCACGGACAGATAGCTAAGGAAAGAAGGGAGAAAATCCTGTTAAAATCCTGAGTTTTATAAAAATACAGAGTTATTTCAAGTTGCCACCCCTCAGCAGAGAGAGAGGGGGAAAAAAACTCCTTTCAGTCTTTATGATGAAATCAGCCCATGTTTTCAGTCTTGTAATGTCATAATGTATTCAGGTAGGGCAGAACGAAAGCAACTGTAGCACACTACATTTCTTTAAACACAAACAGTTAGGGTGTCCACAGACTTAGCACATGCACATCAGGAATAAATAAGTGTGATTGTATTACTTTCTGATAATTTTTTAACAATTACAAATTACTTCCTCTATTAAGTTAACTATTAGGATCAAGTATTTCTCAGTGTATATATAAAAG